GAGTCGAGCTGACTGACAAGGAGAGTGAGTCGAGCTGACTGACAAGGAGAGTGAGTCGAGCTGACTGACAAGGAGAGTGAGTCGAGCTGACTGACAAGGAGAGTGAGTCGAGCTGACTGACAAGGAGAGTGAGTCGAGCTGACTGACAAGGAGAGTGAGTCGAGCTGACTGACAAGGAGAGTGAGTCGAGCTGACTGACAAGGAGAGTGAGTCGAGCTGACTGACAAGGAGAGTGAGTCGAGCTGACTGACAAGGAGAGTGAGTCGAGCTGACTGACAAGGAGAGTGAGTCGAGCTGACTGACAAGGAGAGTGAGTCGAGCTGACTGACAAGGAGAGTGAGTCGAGCTGACTGACAAGGAGAGTGAGTCGAGCTGACTGACAAGGAGAGTGAGTCGAGCTGACTGACAAGGAGAGTGAGTCGAGCTGACTGACAAGGAGAGTGAGTCGAGCTGACTGACAAGGAGAGTGAGTCGAGCTGACTGACAAGGAGAGTGAGTCGAGCTGACTGACAAGGAGAGTGAGTCGAGCTGACTGACAAGGAGAGTGAGTCGAGCTGACTGACAAGGAGAGTGAGTCGAGCTGACTGACAAGGAGAGTGAGTCGAGCTGACTGACAAGGAGAGTGAGTCGAGCTGACTGACAAGGAGAGTGAGTCGAGCTGACTGACAAGGAGAGTGAGTCGAGCTGACTGACAAGGAGAGTGAGTCGAGCTGACTGACAAGGAGAGTGAGTCGAGCTGACTGACAAGGAGAGTGAGTCGAGCTGACTGACAAGGAGAGTGAGTCGAGCTGACTGACAAGGAGAGTGAGTCGAGCTGACTGACAAGGAGAGTGAGTCGAGCTGACTGACAAGGAGAGTGAGTCGAGACAGACAAGACGATCACGGATGATTTAGTTTCGAAACTAAATGCAAAAGCGCCTGTTTGGCAATATTTTGGATTTTGAAAAGCCTGTTGTCTTTTGCCGTTTATCTAAGGTGATTTTGGAAGTTTTTTTCGTTTCTTATTTAATTGGTTCCACATTGTTTGCTGATTTTTACTTTATTTAAACTTTGTGTCATTTATTTATTTTATTTGACATCAATGTGTATGCTGTGCCTCCAAGCTTTCTTACTCGTTTTGCTAATAAACGTTCTACGTTTCTTATTTATTTGGTTATATATTATTCATGTTTACTTGTTTCCAGTTTTGTACATTTAAACTTTATGTAAGTTATTTGTTATTTTATATTAGGCACTGCCCTATAGCATGGTGTATTTTTATTTGTTTTGTTAAAAGTTCTATGTTTTATATATATATGCTAAAGTGAGTTTGACGTTGTATTTTGTTGCAGTCAAGCAATTGACGCCTAACTGCCGCTAATTCGAAAGTGAACGTAAAATGCGCACGGTGCTTTTAAGCTATTTAAAAGCGAAGGAAAGCGAGGAAAAGAGGTAAAATTCAAACGAACTAAAAATGAACAATTGCTTTACTCCGAATTGCCACTATTTGAAAGTGAAAGTAAAATGCGCACGCCGCTTTTACAAGCTATTTAAAAGAGAAGGAAAAGAGGGAATGCCCCCGCGGTGATACCGGTATTACCGGTGTTGTCACATGTCGATTAACCGGTGGGAAAATTTCCTCACCTTCACAACCCTATTATACTCACAGTAGCTTTGGTGAAAATGTTAGTGTTCAAATAAAAAGAACATTCAGAATCAGAAATTAGATTGATGATAATTAATGCATGTAAAGGAACCTATTGTTGTCACTTCATGCCACTGACAGTGATACTTTCAGGTTTGCAGATGTGCTCCTAATACAGAGGTTTTAAGTTCAAATTATCCAAGCCATTGGTTTCCCATAAGTGTATTAATTATTATTTTGTTAAAAACCATTGAATTTCTGATGCATATATAAAGTTTTGCTTTATATTTTTAAAATGAAATTGATTATTGTTTATGTTGGACCAATGAAAATGTTGACAGACAAAATTTAAAAAAAAAATGAACTACTATCCTGACTGGACCAGCCGTTAAACCCTATGAAGACCAATGAAACCAGCTTATGAAAACTGAATTGTGGGCTGTATTAATGGATCAACTTTTAACACTTGAGGATCCATTAAAAAAAACCTTAGAGCTGGTAGTTTGAGAGCTTAATTTTAAACAAACTGAGGTTCAGTGTTAAGTGTGTTGATGATAGTTTTGATGAGCAGCAGTTATGTCCCGAATCAAACAGTTTAGGGTCTTTATTGTGTGCTCTCTCTCCATGCTACAGATGGGGACTCGAGCTCCAAGCACAAGCTCGGGCTCCTCCAGTCTGGACAGTTTGTCAGCATCCTCTAAACCGCTGTCCCAAGTATGCAGTAGCTTGCTGACTCGGTGAAAGAGCTGCTTCATAAAACTATTGATAGCATGTAGACGTCAGACTGCCTTTTAGAATAATTGACTTTGATCTAGAGGACGTCTGTAGTGCTTCGAAAGAGATTGATTTCAATTGAGGCTGAGAAATGACAGACTGCTTAATTATCTTATTTAAACTCAGTCTGTTTCTCTCTCTTCTGGTTTTTAGTTGTGTAAAATCCACCTTCATAATCACGTTGTCACTGTATGTAGGCCCCAAAAAAAGTATTTGGACACTTGATCATGATCCACCTAAAGCCTTTGTTGGGGATGCACTGATGTTAAAATTTATAATTCTGATCAGACTGAATGTTATGGCTGATAGTAATTCCAAGCTGTTTAAAAAAAAAAAAAGCTAATAACTGAAATCACTAGTTTTTAATGCTACATGTGAATTTACATCACACTATTAGAGTGTACTGTATGTAATATATAGTGATATGAAATTATTAGTGTTTTAAAATTTTTTTAAATATTAGTGTTTGCCTGAAAAATGTGCTTGTTCTTTATTTCTAGATAAAGTAAATAACAAAACATCAAATCAAGTGGTATATTGGCCAGAATTAGTTGAATCACTGAATGTGTCTAATTGGTCTCTCTCTGCAGGTCCAGCAGGCTGGTTCTGGTGTAGCGGTGAGCTCCTCTGCACCACCTTCTGCTGCTCCCAAACCAACATTCCCAGCTTACACCCAGTCCTCTGCCACTGCTACGGCCAACACGAGCAGCACTGTGGCCAAACCGGGCACCCCAGTCACAAGTAAGCCTGCCACCCTCACCACCACCAGTGCAACCAGTAAGTTGATCCACCCTGATGAAGATATATCACTGGTAAGTGAACTTGTTTCTGTGCTTTGATCTTTAACCTTTGCAGGAATAACTGGAGTTTTGGAACGGTGCATGCTTTCATTTGATAAAACACCTGTTTGGTTATTCCAGACTGTCTTGTTCCAAACCGGAGACTTTTCTTCTGCGGAACATACATTTAAATAATGCTTTTTTCCATACATTGAAAGTCAATGCCACTAAAACAACACTAGATCACACTGACGTCACAAAATCCTTTGTTCCACAGAAGAAATAAAGCAAGCAAAAAAGCCCATATTTATGTCTTACCAGCTTGTGTGTTTTGCGTTGTGTTTGACAGGAGGAGTTGCGAGCACAGCTGCCTTGCTACCAGTGTAAAGTCCCTAGTGCAGGACAGGCCCACGTGACTTCCCCACCAGTTGCACCGATGGGGGGTGTGTTGCCCCCTCTGCAGGGCATTCCTGCACAGCAGCCGGGTGTTAGGCATCCCATGCAAGGTAGGGTGCATTTGAGGGCTTTCAGACTTTTGGAATGCCCCCTGTATTTCAAAATAAGAGAAGAAAAGTCTTGTTACACTACTGTTTAAAAATTGGGGGCAGTGAGATTTTGAACACTTTCATTCAGCAAGGATGCAATTAAATTGATCAAAGGTGAGAGAGTAAATACATTGACGTTATTATTTCAAATAAATTGCTTATGAACTAATGTTGATGAATTGACAATGTTTACTATACAATGTTTATATGGTAATGTTTTAGATGGTTGTAATGAATGCATATTTAATTTCCCTCATCTGAACTTGAATGAGCAGCCTGCTACTGTACAGTCCACTGTGTAGACATTTCAAAATAAGAGTCATGGGGCATTTCAAGCTTTTTTTGCTGGTCATTATTCATATTTTGGGTACATAAATTGTATTTCATTTCATTTCCATTTAATGAATAACTATTGTAGCTTCTGTCTGGGATTCCCCATCTCAGGATGGACAGACTAAGAACATTATTCAAAATATTATTTAATACATTTTACTAGTATCAGGTTTTTATAGATAAAACTAAAACCATAAAATAATTAATTGAAATAAAATAAATGTTATCTGAAATGAAAAAAAAATAATTATATATATATATATATATATATATAACCTGTGTGTGTGTGTGTGTGTGTGTATATATATATATATATATGTATACATGTATGTATGTATATGTGTATATATATATACTTTTCATTTAGTTTGAGCTTTAGCTTAACCTGATGTACTAAAATAACCAAAACAGAAATAAAAAACCTAATCATGCATTACAATTTTACCTAAACCCTTTAAATTTAGTCAACTAAAATTGTATGATATCGAGTCGCCCAAAACTAGACTAAAGCTAAAACAATTCAGATGGCTAAAATATGACAAACTAAATGGCATTTTCATCAAAAGACTGACTAAATCAAAATATGCTGTCAAAATTAACACTTTCTGAAGGATCATGTGACACTGAAGACTGGAGTAATGATGCTGAAAATTCAGCTTTGCATCACAGAAATAAATTACATTTTAAAATATACTAAAATAGAAAACAGATTTTTTTTTAAATAGTAATATTTCACAATATTACTGTTGTTGCTATATTTTTGATCAAATAAACGCAGCTTTGATGAGCAAACGAGACTCCTTTCTTTCAAAAATAATGAAACAGTCTTACCAACCAACTTTTGAACAGTAGTGTATATTAATGAAGAATAACAGCGTAAGATAAAACCATAAAATAAAATAAAAATCAGTTTCAAATGCAGCTAATCAATTTCCTCTCATGTAGGGCCATTCGGTGCTCCGCTGCAGGGAGTGCCTGGGTACGTCCCAGGGGGAATGCCTCCTTATGGACAAGCCCCACCCATGGTCCCTCCCTACCAGGGAGCCCCTCGGCCCGCCATTGGCATGAGACCTCCTGTAATGTCTCCTGGAGGCCGATATTGAAGCGTCACCACCGGTCTTCATTAGGTTTGGTGATTCAACCATTTTGCCATCTAGTGGCGTGCTTTACAATCCAGATCAGTAACCATAACCCTTCTTGCAATGAGGAGATGGAGTAATCAAACTGTGTAACGCATGGGACATTTGATTTTACCAAGTCTATTATTTGGACCTACCCTTTGTTGCAGATCATTCAGTCTGGCTTTTTTCTCATGTTTTGTTTAGGTTTTTAGAAGTGAAGTGTAGTAAATATGGTTCGTATTAATTTGAAGCGGCTGGAGTTTCGTACAGCACCTTTAACAAGGCAAGTCACTGTAAATATACTATTACTGTACTAAAAGTGTGAAGCCTTCGCAGCACCCATAGGTGCTGTTGGACGTCCCGTCCCCAGCATTGCTTGGTGAGGGCTTCAGATAGCTGTCACTGTTGGGTTTATTTTTCTATGTCTGCTTGTCTACATTTACAGTGTTCTCTCTGTAGGGCCAATAACACAAGACTCCTGTGAATGCTATCTGTACTGTTCCACTGTTAATTGTAATAAACTATTGAAATCTAACGGCTGTTTTTTTTCATTAGCAAGTAAAGGACAACCTCACAAGGTTTGTACTACAAATGCTCAACGTGATGGCTGTTGTTTATTTGTATGAAAGCTGTGTGATTGCAGTGTGCTGGGACGTGTTTGTGGGTGAGAGGGAAACTGAAGCATTTGCATCCACGTTTGATGGTCCTTTCATATTAAAGTTTGGATTTAAAGGGGTCAAATCACGAGGAATCAAGTTTTCCTTGATCTTTTGAGATAAATGGGTTTAGCACCATGTCAACTTGATGTAACTGTTGCAGCGCAAAACATCCTCCTCAGTCCAAAAAGACCATCATCATAACATCTCCCAGCTTCTGACGTCAGTGAACAACAGACAAACTAACGATATAAGAGTTTGTGCTGCAACAGAAAGTGACACGGTGATAAATGATCATGGAATAAACAAAGTATGACTATTTTTGATGGGAGAAAAAATAACACAGTGGACATGTATAAGACCCCTTTAAATTTTCAGCTGCTTATGCAAGGACATATGGCTGCTAGACCATTCAGATAGCAGTTTCCTGAAAATCACTGTCTTGAGAGACTGAAATAACCTGAGAATCATTTCTGTCCAGGCTAAGGCTCATTACTTGTGGTTTTCAGGAAGAGGCAGGTAAGAAGGTGACTGTAGTTCACTGTGGTTGTTGTCCTAAACTGAGGATTTCTCTTCTCCTTGTAGCAATGCCATGGGACTGGCTGAGGCAGAGTCTCAGTGTTGCCCTGCACAGGCTGAGGCAAGTCTCACATTTTCTCTCTTTCCTCTCTGTATTCAGGGGGCCTCACAGCCGTTTGGCTGTTGGATGCAAATGTCCCCAAACTTAGAGCAAGTTTGGTGATGGCCCCCGGGTTTATTAATATCAGGGGAGTTCTCTTAACTAACTCATAGTTTTAGTTAACATGTTAAAAATAGATACACGTGCTTCAAAAGTTTGAGGTCAATAAGGTTTACAAAGATGCATTGAATTGATCAAAAGTGGCCGTAAATACAGTTCTTACAAGATTTCTATATCAAATAAATGCTGTTTTTTATTCATTTATTTTTTTACCACCTGTTCAAGGAATCCTGGGGGAAAACAAGTCTTGGTGTTTTCACAAAATTATGAAGCAGCACTGTTTTCAATATTCATAATAGTAATTGAGCATCAAATCAGTGTATTAGAATGATTTCTGAAGGATTGTGTGACAATGAAGACTGGAGTAATGAAGCTAAAAATTCAGCTTTGCATCACAGGAATAAATGACATTTTAACGTGTTCACACAGAAAAGTTGCTTTAAATTGTAATATTTCACAGTATTGCTGCTATTACTGTATTTTGAAATACAGCATGATTAAAAAAATCTTACCAGCCTCAATCTTTTGAACGGAAGTGTTTATTAAAGTAATCTGAGTTGTTTTCAATCACATCTATGGCATGCTGTTGATTACCACAGACTATGATTTTGACTCATCTCTCTGTTTGTAAGAAACAAATGGGAAATGGATATGTAGTAATTGCAATGAAAGCAGTTATGCAAACTAGAAAAAGCACCGTGCTCATAAACATGACGTGCTATAGCATTATACTTTGTGTGCTAACCAACTGATTCTGTGCAGTTACATGGATCTGAGGTTTTAAACTCTCCCACAAGAATTACATTCATAAAACACAAGAAGAGTTCTTCCACCTTCAACAATCATATTTAAATGTTATTGTTACATTACTATTTTTACAAACTGAAAGATGAGGTGAAATTATTCAGTGTGCCTCAGATTCTTTCCATGAGCATTGTTGAAAATCCAGAGTATTATACAGTGGGTACGGAAAGTATTCAGACCCCCTTAAATTTTTCACTCTGTTATATTGCAGCCATTTGCTAAAATCATTTAAGTTCATTTTTTCTTCCTCAATGTACACACAGCACCCCATATTGACAGAAAAACACAGAATTGTTGAAATTTTTGCAGATTTATTAAAAAAGAAAAACTGAAATATCACATGGTCCTAAGTATTCAGACCCTCTGCTGTGACACTCATATATTTAACTCAGGTGCTGTCCATTTCTTCTGATCATCCTTGAGATGGTTCTACACCTTCATTTGAGTCCAGCTGTGTTTGATTATACTGATTGAACTTGATTAGGAAAGCCACACACCTGTCTATATAAGACCTTACAGCTCACAGTGCATGTCAGAGCAAATGAGAATCATGAGGTCAAAGGAACTGCCTGAAGAGCTCAGAGACAGAATTGTGGCAAGGCACAGAACTGGCCAAGGTTA